GGAGGGAAGAGATCGGCTGATTGAAAGGGTAGTGCGAACTCATCATCATCTGTCGATTTCCTCTGCGGCCTTCCATCTTTCAGGCTTTGACAATGACGAATTAGGTGGCGGCCCGTTTGGCGGCGCTCGACTCCGCGTTTCCGATCGGCCGCGTGCAGCAGCAGCAGCGCTCGGATTTCGGTTGGGAGAGCGGAGCTTGGCCATCCCGGCTGCGGTCGCCGACAGCGTTAATCACCCCCGGGTGGAGCCCGGCCTGGCCCGGCCGTGACTGGCCGAGCCGACCCTAAATCAAAACTATCCCCAGGATCTGGGAGCGGATCTGCGGGAGAAAGGGCCCTGCTAAGCTCCCGGGAGAGGCGAGACGGCCGATGTGGAATTACACGTATTAACCGCGTACATCAGTTACTGGGGAAAACGGGGAAGAGGCTTGCTGTAGCCCGTTTTTATTCCAAGTGTGTATTCTTCCTGACTACGCTAATAAAAGCTTAAGGTCGTGAATATTCACCGTTAGCTGCAAGATGCAAGGCTCGGTTCGCTGCGGCTTTTGGTGAAATTAAACTTTAGCTGTTATGTGTGTACCCCCCCCCCCCCCATTATCCCCTCCTCGGGTTCAGGTGGCATCGAGAACGTGGAGTCAATCTCTTAGTCAAGAAGACAAATGTCAGTAAGTTAGTCTATTGCAACCCTTCTCTCAAAATCATTGTCGTTCCCAGCTAGGGTACCACAGCTGTGTCTCACAGGCGCGCACTGCACTGTTAAAAAATCTGTGGAAAAACCACAGACAACCACAGAAAAATTCCGAACAGAGGTGTACAGATTGCTTCTGTTACAGAAATTTTCAGTTATTTTGTGAACACAGAAGTCTGTGCTTCAAAATCACAGAAAAAACAGAACAGAATTGTACAGATTGCTTCCGTCATATAAATAGTCTGTCATTCAAGGGGTGCGGACCCATCTGTAACAGATATTGTGTCTCAGTGGTAAGGCGTTCGAAGACGCCGCTAGATGGCATTCTACATTAGCTCTCGCTGATCACTTCCGTCCTGGTCACCATGTGGTGTCCCACCCTGATACGACGCAAATCGGAAATAGTTTCCCGCGCGCTGCAGCCTTGTGCTAAAGCGCCAATGAAATTGAATTTTTGACTCACTATGGGT